CACAGCTCTGGCCACGCCCCCTCGCTGCCTCCCGCCTTTCCCCCCCACATGCTTCCTGCCTCTGGCCTCCCCCTCCCTTGGGCTTCCCCGCCCCTTGACCTCCTCCTCCCCTCCTGGCCTCCATCCTTCCACCTCCCCCTGGGCCTCCACCTCTCCCGGCCTCTACTCCTCCTGCCTCTGGCCTCCCCCAGGGGCCCTTTGACTTCCTCCTCCTCGTTCCCTCCCTACCCTTCCTGGCCTCCATCCCTCCTCTCCTCCCGGCCTCTACTTCTCCGGCCTCCACTCTTCCTGGCATTTCCGTCTCCTTGATCTGTAGGCCCCACACTCCAGCCGTGTGTGTGTGTGTGTGTGTGTGTGTGTGTGTGTGTGTGTGTGAGCCAGTGATGGTGCTCGGGCCCGGTGCCCTAGCTTGGCTTCCCCGCGTGCACCCCTCCCCGCCCCCATTGGTGGCACTGTCCCCCCCTGAGCCACAGCTCGCCCTCCTTCGAGCAAGTCTTGCAGACTAGGCAGCCTGGGCTGGTTGTGAATGAAGATCCTCAAATCTCAGCCTCCGGAGTAGCTAAGGTTTATAGGCAGGAGGCACCAGCTCAGCGCAGATGTGTGTGTGTGTGTGTGTACACGTACGTACTAGAGTTCGAACTCAGGGCCTGGTTGCATCCCTGAGCGTTTTTGATTCAAGGCTGGTGCTTTACCAGTTGAGCCGCAGCTCTGCCTTCAGCGTTTTGGGGGCGCCGCGGAGATCAGGGAGTCTTAGGGACCGGGCTTTTGGTCCTCAGATCCTCAGCAGCTGGGATTCCAGGCGGGATCAGCGGCGCCCGCCTCGGCCCTGGTCCTAACCTGGGAGGGCGTCCTTCTGTCTGTCCCTTCCCGAGCTTGCACGGTGTCCCCAGACCTGCCTGGCTGTGACTTCCTCCTCTTGTGTCCTCCAGCGTCCGCCTCGGTGCACCCTCTCATTGACCCCCTGGCTTCTGGGTCTCACCTGACCCGGATCCCCTACCCGGCCGGGACCCTCCCCAACCCCCTCCTCCCTCACCCTCTGCACGAGAACGAAGTTCTTCGCCACCAGCTCTTTGGTAAGCGGGGAGGCGGGCGCGGGGCTCGCCGGGGGGAGCAGGGGACGCGGGCCTGCGCCGCCGTCGGAGGTAAAGCGGCTGGCCGTCCCCTGGCCGCAGCCCCTCAGTCCCGTGTTCCCGCCCTTCCCGATGCCAGCTGCCCCGTACCGGGACCTGCCGGCCTCGCTGTCGGCGCCCATGTCCGCGGCCCACCAGCTGCAGGCCATGCACGCGCAGTCGGCCGAGCTGCAGAGGCTGGCGTTGGAGCAGCAGCAGTGGCTGCACGCGCACCACCCGCTGCACAGCGTGCCGCTTCCCGCCCAGGAGGACTACTACGGGTCAGCGGGGAGCCCGGGCCGGGGGGAGAGGGGTGCGGGGCGGGGGCTGCTGCCGCGTGCGCGCATGCGTGAGCCTGGCGGCCAGCTGCTGTGAGAGTGAGGCTTGCTGCTACGTGTGCGCATGCGTGACTATGAGGGGGGCTACTGCTAGCTGTGCGCATGCGCGTGGGGCTGTGGCTCCGTGTGTGCGTGCCTATGCTGGGCGGCTGCTAGCTGTGCACATGCGTGAGTGTGGTGACCAGCTAGCTGCTCTGTGTGTGTGTGTGTGAGTGTGATGGCTTGCTGCTATGTGTGCGCATGCGTGGCCATGATAGGCGTCTGCTAGCTGTGTGCATGCGCATGGGGCTGCCGCTCTGTATGCGCATGCGTGAGCGTGGTGGCCAGCTGCTGTGTGTGCCTGAGCGTGATGGCTTGCTGCTACGTGTGCGCATGCGTGACTATGATGGGCTACTGCTAGCTGTGCGCATGCGCCTGGGGCTGCTGCTCTGTGCGTGCCTAGGCTGGGCGGCCGCTAGGTGTGCGCATGCGTGAGCGTGGTGGCCAGCTGCTGTGTGTGCCTGAGCGATAGCTTGCTGCTACGTGTGCGCATGCGTGACTATGATGGGCTACTGCTAGCTGTGCGCATGTGCGTGGAGCTGAAGCTCCATGTGTGCTTGCCTGTGTGCTGGGCGGCTGGTATGGTGTGCGCATGCGCTTGGACTGCTACTTAGGAGGCTAAAATCTGATCCAGGCAGAAGAGCCTGAGAGGCATTGACGGCTAGCAGCCGTGGGAGGGACAAGCCAGTGCGCGTGCGCGAGGGCGGCGGGGCTGCCGCTAGCTGCGCGCGCGCACTTGGTGGCTGTGCGCATGCGCATCAGTTCTTTTCCCGTTTTTCACTCCCCGTGGCTGGGTCTGTCGCCCCCGGCTGGCGCTGTGCCGCCCGAGCTGCAGCCTCCGCTTCCAGCTCTTTCTTTTGCCGCCTCATTGGAGATGAGGCCGGCTGCTGAGCCCCTTCCCCTCCGCCCCGAGGGGGGCCCCGCCTCACCCCTGTGTCGTTGCTCTTCACCCCCGCAGCCACCTGAAGAAGGAGAGTGACAAGCCGCTGTAGACCCCGGCCATCAAGAGCCCCCCGCCGGCCCCAGCACCCCAACCCCGGAAGCCCCCGCGCCCGGAGCCGCGGGGAAGAGCGCTGCTGGGCCGCGTGTGCAGCGGGACAGCGGGAGGGAGGGAGGGAGGAGGGGGGCAGCGCACAGTGGATCTTGGACCAGGTCTCTCTTCCTCGTCCCCGGGCCTTCCTCCTCCTCCTCCTCCTCCAGGCCCAGCCCCGGGGGCCGCGCCCCCCCCCTTGGTGTGACTATTTTCATCTGTTAGATGTGGCTGTTTTTTGCGTAGCATCTGTGTGCCGCCCCCCCCGCCCCTCCGTGCCCCCCTCTGCGATGTACGCCCCGCCCCCACATTAATAATTTATATATATATAAATATCTATATGACGCTCTTTGAAAAAAAAAACCATCCCAAACCAACCAAACAAACACGCCCTCAGGCCTCCCCAGGAAAACGGCTCTGACTGGTTGTTGGTGGCGGTGGGCTGCTGGGCTTGGGGCGAGGTCTATCGGCCCACAGAGGAGGGAGGTGGGAATTCTGGGACTTGGGCGTCCTGGGGCTTGAACCCGGGGCCTCGAGCCAGCTGAGCTGCTCTACCGCTTCTGGTGGTTCCTTAGCGGTCAGCGTCTGTCAGGCTCTTCTGCCTGGATCAGATTTTAGCTGGAACTGCGGGCGCGAGTCATCGCTGCAGACTTGCAGCCATGGGGGAGGTCTCAGCGCAGCCCGCGGGGGGCCTTCGGGGTGCAGCGGGACCCGGATCCCGCGGGCGATCGCACTGGGGTCCCAGGACGCCGCGCAGCGCCCCGCAAGCCGGGCTGGGAAAGCGCCACGACGGCTCTTGCTCCCGGCTCCCATTGGCTTTTCTTGAGAACCAATCCCCGTCCTGGTTCTTTACCACTGGGGCGCGCCGTGATTGGCTTGTGTCCCCAGCCAATCGGAACCGGGCTAATTTGCATAGCACTTCCCAGACGTTTACAAACTCCAGGAAAAACAATGTTTCCAATGAGTTGCGTGGACTGTCCACGCGGTGACCGCGCCCGCACGTGGGTCTGGCTGCTGCCTCCCTCGCTCGGGGGTCGCAGCGCGCCAGCCCCAAACTCGCCCTCAGTGAGAGTGGGGTGGGCGCTGCCCCCGCTGGTCGCCGCAGGGCGGCTCGGCACAAGTGTTGCAGCTCTTTTAGAATTTGTCCAGCAGGTTTTCTGGCGCTTGCCGGAAAACCCATAATCTTAACGTGTGTAACGGCAGACTTGGGTTGTGCTGAGTTGATGCTTTATGTCCAGCTTTTTCCCTGGTTGGCTCCCTAACCGGTAACTTCCGGTTGGTTCTCCCTTGCGTTTCCGTTGCGCTCGCAGACGCCGGATGCTGCTTTAACAAACAGACTGCTGGTTTCTGTGGGTTTGTTGCCCCCCTTAATTCCTTTGGAGCCCGTGCGGTTTTCCATGGCGTCCGCTTCGTCCCAGCCCGCGGCGCTGAGCGCAGAGCAGGCCAAGGGTGAGCTGCGTTACTGTTTGGGGGGAGTGGGGGGGGGCTGGGGTGGGCGGGGGGTGCGGTGCGCGTGTGCGGGTCCCGTCCCCTCACCCCGATCCCCCGGGTTTCCCGCCGCCGCCGCCGCACGCGCAGTGGTCCTGGCCGAGGTGATCCAGGCCTTCGCAGCCCCGGAGAACGCGGTGCGCATGGACGAGGCCCGCGACAACGCGTGCAACGACATGGGCAAGATGCTGCAGTTCGTGCTGCCCGTGGCCACGCAGATCCAGCAGGAGGTCATCAAGGCCTACGGCTTCAGCTGCGACGGGGAAGGTGGGTGGGGCGCGGAGCGCGGGGCGGGGGCCTCGCCCACCCCCATCCCCGGCTTCCCCCCGCGACCGCCGCCCTCGTGACGGCCCTGCCCCGCAGAGCCCGGGGTCGGCGGGGGCCCCGCAGCGGCTCCCGGAGGCTGAGATCACGGAGGATCGAGGCTGGAGGTCAGCGGCCAGGCTCTGATCGCCGAACAGCCACGAAAGGCCGCAAGGGGCGCAGGGGCTCGCGGGGTAGCGCGTCCGCCTGGAGCGGCGCCCAGGCCCCGGGTTCAAGCCCCACGCCCGACAACC